ATTCCTTTTGGAAGTCAGGACATTGTTTACCTAGCTCTTCTCTGTTTCGTATGAGAAGACATATGTCGTCTTTTCTTTTCACCCCGACAGTGGTTATGTGCAGTCCACAGATGCTGATGACATTGACAACCCCTTTGGGGACCTCACATCTCTGGCCAAGCCTCGGAGCTCGACAGTTCTTCCCACGAACCCAAGTCGGTGAGTTCCTCTCATAGTTACCCCTTCCTTTATCATTAAGGATGAAACGTGGCGACGGTCTTTGTTAGTAATTAAGGAACCCAAAATGGCCCGCTAGTGAACATAGCTTAAGAAGAAAGACACCTGCTTCTTGAAAGAACTGTAGATTGTCAAAAAGAAGGTTACAGTTTTAGGCACTGACTACCCTGGGTGCCTTGATATGGACACATATTTGCTTCTACCAGTGGGAATACTGAGTGTGTCCCAGGATTCACAGGACACACTGCTGTAAGCTGAGGCCCTGTGCTCTTTTCAGCATGCTACTGAGTCACTAACCGTCGGGGATATGGTACCATCGGTGTCTGTAACGACAGATAGACTTGCAGAAGATTTCATGCAAAGCCATAGTGTGAATCGCGACAGTATTTTAAATGTTAATTGTTTTCTGTTTAAAAAAAAGGGAGGTAAAAGCTAAAATAAATGAATGGGAGTATATCAAACTAAAAAGCTTCTGCACAGCAAAAGAAACCATCAAAAAAATAAATAAAGAGGCAACCAACCGAATGGGAGAAGATATTTGCAAACAACACCTCCAATAAGGGGCTAGGATTCAAACTATAAGGAACTCAAACAACTCAACAACAAAAAAACAAAGAATCCTGTTAAAAAATGGGCAGGGGACCTGAATAGACATTTCTCCAAAGAGGACACACAGATGGCCAATAGACATATGAAAAGATGTTCAATGTCACTAATCATCAGAGAAATGCAAATGAAAACCACAATGAGATAGCACCTCACTCCTGTCAGAATGGCTATCATCAATAAATCCACAAACAACAAGTGCTGGTGAGGTTGTGGAGAAAAAGGAACCCTCATACACTGTTGGTGGGAATGCAGATTGGTGCAGCAGCTATGGGACGCAGTGTGGAGGGTCCTCAAAAAATTAAGAATAGAATTACCATATAACCCAGCAACCCCTCTCCTGGGTATCTACCCAAAAACTCTGAAAACATTTATCCGTAAAGATATATGTGCTCCAATGTTCATTACAGCTTTATTCACAGTAGCCAAGACATGGAAACAACCAAAGTGTCCTTCGATAGATGATTGGATAAAGAAGGTGTGGTATATATACACAATGGAATACTACTCTGCCATAAGAAAAGATGAAATACTGCCATTTGCGACAAAATGGATGGATCTTTAGATTATAATGCTGAGCGAAATAGAAAAAGTCGAGAACCATATGATTTCACTGATATGTGGGATATAAAACTAAAAACAACAAAAGAACAAGAAAAATAAATGANAACTTGTTCATTAACTGTCTGTCATTCATTTTGATGATTTTAGATGGTTGGTGGACTCTGGGACAGATTTCAAACAAGATCTTTCTTGACACCGGTCAAACCAATTAATTTGTAAGTTTTATCTCCCAATGTTCTTATCACTACATTTTCTACTATATCACATGCTTATGGTTAAGAACCCAGTGACCTAGCCCATGGTGGGAGAGGGGTGAGGGGGACGTCCTCCGGGGAGCACCTTGTACATTTAATTTTATATTTACCAAATCCACAAGTAGTTGCAAAGTAGAGGAAATATTTAGCCTTAGTCAGCAAAATTAATGAGAGTTTTGGATAAATTTCAGTTATGAAAAACAATATCATAGATAACATGTTCCAAATCTTTTAAAATTGCACCACTTGAATAAAACCAGTATAAATTACCTGTTAAAAATAATTGTTTATTATTAGAAGAAAAAAGAATAATGAGTGGAAATATGGAAAATTGTAATCAAGTTTAAATGCTGGATCTGGAATTGTAAATAGGGGTGATATTCAGAAAAATACTGTCTTATCAGCAAACTTAGATTTATTGAGCCATATTCTTAAAATAATGTGTAAAATTTTTAATAATATTATTTAAAAGATGTTTTTGACAAATGTGTAAAATACCCCAATATAAACATAGCTTCCAATGTGTAAATTGAATGGTAATAATTTAAATAAAATATTAAAACACTCAAAAAATATAAGATCCTTGTAAATACAAGCTGAAATTGTTGATAAACCCATTCAAATATCTGAGAATAAAAATATAAATTATTGGTATAAACTCTTAATATTATGTGAATGCTAATGCAAAACTTTACTAGCATCTTTTTATTTAAATATTATCTAGTAAAATAGCAAATAGCTCACCCAGATGATAAAGTTTTTTTCCAGTTTATATGGATCCATTGCATTTATTTTTTAGTGGTAAATTATCTGATGAATTAAGAGCTATGTGTCTCAGTACAGCCAACAGCCACATCTCAGCACTCCTGAGATTACTGCTCACCATAGAGCCTTCCCCTATGCAAATGTTCCTCCCAGGAGCCCACACAAACATTTACATGCAAATGTTTGTATCAGCTTTATTCATATCTCCAAAACCAAGGAACAACCAAGATATCTTTCAACCCCTGAATGGAAAAACATGCACTGGATAAACATACCGGAGTATCCCCCATGCAGTCGACACAAGTCAGCAATGAAAAAGAACCAACGCAACGCACAACAGCATGGTGGACTTGTCAATGGATTTTGCTCAATGAAAGCAGCCAGACCCACAAGGTCACATAGCGTCTGATTCCGTTGTATGACATTCTGGCAAAGGCAAAGCTACATGGGCGGGAATACACCAGTGGTTGCCAGGAGCTGGGAGAGATGGAAAGGGTTGCGTACAAAGAGCCTATGAGGGGACCTTTCGGGTGATGGAACTGTTGTGTATGGTTCCGAGGTTGGGGCCACATGACCCTGCATTTGTCACACCCATAGCACTAGACGCCACGAGGAAGAAACTGTACCGAATGCCAAGTGAAAAATAAACAAACAAGTGAATGTCAGGATGTTGGGGAATCCAGGATGAATGCAGGTTGTCACAAATGAATCTGCGTTATAGATAAATGACATAACTACCCTTAGGTGGATGGGGGGAAAGGAGCGGTCATAAACAAACCCGGACACGGGATTTTGACTGAATACTTTAATGCTAAAGACAAAAAGAGCTCTGTATAAATAAGCATCATACTCCAGCTTGTAAATGTGTTCCTCACTGGGAAATGGTGTGGCAATTCCAAAAATTAGTTCATGTGTCTACTAGCTTTGAACAAAAAAGTGAATATTTGGTAGGTAGCGGGAGGCAGGTTTCACAGGATCAGAGAAAGAAATTACAAATGAGTAGGCCACAAATGAACGCCGGGGTGCTGTATTACACAAGGAGATATCCTCTGAACGCATGTTCAGCAGATACACAGAGAATAGATACAAACATGTCTACAGATATACACAGGTACGTACGTCCATGTACATCCACTGAGAGAGCCAGGAGAGGGACAGCCCTGCAGCCACAAGCACATCTGGCATCCAGATGTTGGTTTTTGCTCCAATACAAGAAATTGAGATCCTTGGAGAAACGGCTGGTTCTAGGGCTGGAGCAGGGAAAGCAGCCCCTGGGACCGCTGTCACGCTGGGATCTCGTGGAAGCGACCGAACTGTGGCTGTGGCTGCTTCATCTGCACCGTGGAGGGGAGACTGATGGTCTCCCAGAACCGCTCAAGTGTGGGAAGTGTGTGTGTTTAAGAAAACAGGAGCGCCAGCTTTGCCGGCTACGGCACATCCAATCCCTGAGGAAGTATGCAGCCAAAGAACAGCCCACGAGGAGAGGGCTGAGGCAGAGCTCAAATCACGAGAGTCAACAGACGTGTGTGTCCGTGTGAGCTTGGGGTCGTTTGTTCTCTGGTTTGGATCTTCACTTAAAACTACATCTTGAAATCCTTTCTGTTTAAAATTCCACACTTTTGGAGGCCAATTCCTACACGATGTCTCTGAAGCCTTTGCTGTTACTTCAGTAAGAGGAAGACTGCAGTACCTTGATGTTTCTTAAGTTGATGTGAATAACGCAGTTGCCCATGTTTTCTCTTTTTCTCAGTGTGAGTCCAAGTTCTCGAAGCAAATACATTCCTCTCTACACGTAAGTAATGTTTGTTAATATTTTAAAAATTACTAGATTTACACCTAAATTGTAGTTGTTTTCAACTCACACATGTTTGTAATTCACTTTTTACGACAACTTATGCTTTCTGGTAGATTTCTAAAGTTTTCCTAGCACAGTGCCTGTGTGATGTCAGGATAGTCATCAAAGATTTGTTAAAGATTTGAATAAGAGAAAGGGTGCAATATTTTTATATTTTCCCAAATCGGTTATTCTATGAAATAAAATACCTCGGATGCCGATGGAGTAGGGC